AGTAGTAATTCATACTGTACCATTGTTCAGGAAAAGGAGGGTAAAGTCTTCCCCATCTTCTACATAGAACCTGGCATAGATATTCCACAGTGCTTTCCTACTTATAAACAATGTTAGCAAATAAAAAATTTAAAAATCAAAATTTTAGCAAATCAAGATTAGATTGATGGAAGGAAGGAATATAGCAATCCATGGCTTGCTGATAGGAAATTTAGTTCATGTTTATGTGACCTGCTTTGAAGCAGCTTGTGCTGTTAGCCTCTGGTCTCAGTTGAGTTGAGCTTCTGAGTTGAGCACTACCAATGGAACTGTCCAAGTTCTGACTTTAGGAAAAGAGTATTGTTTGTTTGCTCAGCTCTTTATAGGCTATACACAGTGTTTAAAAACACTTCTTCAGTCCTAGCCACTCAGTAGGCAGAGATCATGATGATCATGGTTTGAGGGAACTGGGGAAATAGTTGCAGAGACTGTCTTGAAAATATTCAACACAAAAAGGGCTGGAGGAATGACTCAAGTGGTGGAGTGCCCTAGCTAACAAGCATGAGGCCCTGAGTTCAAACCTTAGTTAAAGTAAGTTAAAGTAAGGCTTCCCTTTGCATTTCTTTCTTTTCTTTTTTCTTTTTCTCTCTTTTTAAAAAAAAATTTTTTTTTTAGTTAATGCAAACTTTATTTATAAAAGACTTTTAAATTAGTTGTTTCATGCCATTCATTCATATAGAATACAGTGACCCTTCAGGGCTACAGAGAGATCTCACAAGCTCAAAAATAATTTTTTTTTTTTTTAGTGGTACTGGGGCTTGAACTCAGGGCCTCATGCATGCAATCTTTTTCTGTTTTGAGACACGGTCTTAGTATGTAACACAGGCTGGCCTTGAACTTGCTTAATGTAACCCAGATAGGTCTTGAACCCACAATCCTGCCTCAGCCTCTCAGGTGCTGGGATTATAGGTCTGATACACTGTGCCCAGTTTAGAAGTTTAAATATTTTCCTGGCCAATTACACAAGAAATGAAATTAGTTCTTGAGTCAGAATCAGGAGACTTGGGTTTTAATCCTGGCTCTGAGCAAAACATTTAACCTCTTTAAACCTCAGTTTCCTCCTCTGTAATAAGTAGGAGAATGAGACTAATGATCACTAAGAATCTTTTCATTCTTTTCAGTTTTATTGCCACCTTCACAATAGTGAGACAAGCCAAGATGTGGTAGGTACATTGGGGTGGTAAATCTGTTCTTCTCTTATATGGTCCTGCCTCTGTAAACTGGCCTCTGTTGTGTGTGTTTGCTAGTGTGCCTGGTCTGAACTTACCCCAAATAGTCAAGGTAATACTTTTTTAGGTCCTTCCATTTGCTATATACCAACTATGGTTGTATTCAGACTTGCTTTGGCCTACTTCTTCCAATTTGCTTTCTGGATTCATAGTAAAGAAATGTCAGTCTCTTCCCATTTTCACTAACGTGTTTGCAATGACTGTAATTTTTGCTGTGTGCCATTACCTGCTGCACTTGAATTGGCCTCTCATTTTTGATTTGCCTTTTTACTATAACAACTGGGATAATTATTGCTTGCACTTACTATAAGTTTTCAGAGTACCAGGCACATTTCAAAGCTCTTTAAAAAAAATTTTTTTTTTGAGGGAGTGGTGGTACTAGAGTTTGAACTCAGGGCCTCTCACTTGCTGAGCAAGAACTTCTAACACTTGAGCCATGCCCCAAATAGGATCTCATACTTATGCCCCAGGCTAGCCCAAGACCACGATCTTCCTGCTTTCCCCTCCAAAGTAGCTAGGATTACAGGTGTGAACCACCAGGCCCAGCCTTCAAAGCTTTATATTTTAATCTTTACAAGTGTCTTGTGTGGGTAACTATTGCTATGTTCTTTTTATAGGTTATAAAACCAAGGCTCAGAGACTGGAGTTGTATAGCATGTGAATGCACCAGGCCCAGCCATATACAGCCTAGCACAAGGCCCCAGATTTGATCCCCACTACCAAAAAAAGGAGAAGAAGAAGAAAACTGAGGATTAGAGAAATAGCATACCTAACACTAGTGTCCAGTAAGTGATAGGGCTAGGGTTAAAACTTTAGTCTCACCTCAAGGCTCATGTTCTTTTTCTTTGCAGTACTAGGCATTGGACCTAGGGCCTCTCACATGCTAGGTAAGCATTCTACACCCCAGCCCACAAAGCTGATCCTCTTAAGCAATAGGCTTGTTTGCTCATGATGATGGTGGTTTTAAATGACGTTGATAATTACAATATGTTGAGTATGTCCTGGGTGCTAACCAATGCATTCTCTACCTTTCTCACCCCAATTTTACAGTAGAGGAAACTCCTATTGTTCATGACTTGACTTTAGGCTAGTAAATGTAAGCATCTAGGTTTCAAAGTATTGAACAGTCTTAAATTAGATCATTCTTTCAGAATGAATTACCTTTTATTCTCTTTCCTGCGTTAATGGTCAGTAGCATAATGTTTTTTCTGAACTGCTACAGTATTAATAATTGAATGTTGTCTATGTGTTTCTATACTTTTTCTCTGACTAATGTCTAGCATCATTTTTTTTTGGTGGTATTGAAATTTCAACTCAGGGCCTTGCACTTGCTAGGCAGGTGCTCTATCACTTGAACCATGCCCGCAGCACTTTTTTTGCTTTAGTTATTTATCCAACAGGGTCTCACATTTTTGCTCAGGGACAACCTCGAACACCATCCTCCTACCTCTGGCCTCATGAGTAGCTGGGATGACAGGCACCTGAGTCACCACTCCCAGCTTATTGTTGAAATGGATTCTCCAGATCTTTTTCCCCTGTGTTGGCTTCAAACCACAATCCTCCCAAGTAGCTGGAGTTAGAGGCCTGAGACACTTCTCCCAGCCCATTATAATTCTCTTATTTGTTACCATTGCTTTTTTTTTCCTCTATCAAAAACTGGTAATAGTAATCAGATAATGGAGAAAAAAAGAGAAGGTACCAAGTAAAAGCTAAAGGAAAGTCCAAATACTAGAAATCTTTCTGAGAGCTAAAATGTTTAGAGAACAAAAATTTAAACTAAAAGCTCCACTTTTTTGGAAGCTTTTTTTGAGAATAATAGGACTTTGATGCTTACAAACTTGGTGATATAAGACATAGAATTTGACCTCACAATCTCTAAAATTCTTATCTGAAAATAGGGTAAATAATACATCTTTATAATGCAGAATTAGTTACAGTGATGATTAAGTGATATAAAGTATAAAACTCCTTAATACGGTGCTCAAATTGTTAGTTCTCTCTTTTACCTTCAGGTATTAGTGAAGTAATCCAGAATATATGGCTAAAAACTGTTAGCTTTTTAGCTTATATGTAGCTTTTAAAAATCCAGATCTTAAGATCAAGGTGTCTGTAGATTTATGTCTTTGAAGGCCCTCTTCCTGAACAGCTGTTTTCTCAATGTAACCTCCACAGGGTGGAAAGACCTGGAGAGTTCCCTGAGGTGTTTTTTTTGTTTTGTTCTGTTCCTGTTTTTTACAGGGTCTCCCCATGTAACTTGAATTCTACCTCCCAAGTGCTGGGATTATAGGCATGTACCACTATGTCTAGCTTTTGGGACCTTTTGTATAAGGAGCATTCATGATGGCTCCACTCTGGTGCTCTAATTATCTCCAAAGGCCCTGTCCTGTCACCATCACATTGGATAGTAGGACTTCTTCCCTTTTTTTTTAAGTACTGGGGATTGAGCAAAGGGCCTTTTACATGCAAGAATCTATCACTGAGCTATATTACTGGGCCTCATGCATTCACATGCTCTACAGCTTAAGCCATACCTCCAGCCCTTAGTTGGTTTCCAGATAGGCTCACATGTTTTTGACCAGCAAGCCTGGACCACGATTCTCCTATTTAACCTTCCACATAATACAAGGCTTTTTATTGGTTGAGATGACCTCTCACTAACTTTTTGTGGATCTGTCCTCAAATTGTGATCCTACTGATCTCCACTTCACAAGTAACTGAGATTACAAGTATGAGCCACTATGCTCTGCAGGTGGTAGAATTTCTTTTTGTTGTTGTTATAGAAACAATGTTTATTGAAGTAAATAATTACGGGATATTACATATACCATGTTAGGTGATAGGATTTCAACATAAGAAGAATTTGGAAGTCTGAGAATGGGAGGGGGTAGAATCCACACTCAGTTTCTCCTAATGTACTCTCTCACAAGATGCTTCTGACACTGTGTATGTGGTATAGGGAGTCCCTCACCCACCAAACCGAAAATGCTGCAGCCAGGTGTCCTCTAATAAAATTCAATTTAATATGTCTACCTGGAAATAGCTTCAGTCCCATAGGTCAAGGGCTCAGTCCCCAAGACTGTCCTCAACCCCCCCCCCTTTTTTTTTTTTGGTGTTTTTTGGCAGTGCTAGAGTTAGAACTTTGGGCTGCACACTTGCTAAGCAGGCACTCTACCACTTGAGCCACTTTACCACCCTCTGTCCCCCCACCTTCAGATGCCAATCACAAAGTTCAGGTTCTTTTGCCTGACCTTCTGTTGCACTGGCTATGAATCAGTTCCTACAATCCCTTCTAGGGTTTCATTAATTTGCTGGAGCAGCTCACAGAACTCAGGAAAACATGTTTACTGGTTTATTATACGGTGGCTCATACCTGTAATCCTAGCTACTTGGGAGAGACTGAGATCAGGAGGATTGCAGTTTGAGGCCAGCTTAGGCAAACAAATAGTTCAGAAGACCCCCATCTCCAAAACAACCAGAGCAAAAATGGACTGGAGGTGTGGCTTAAGTGGTGGTACCTACTTTGTAAGTGTGAAGCCCTTAGTTCAAAGCCCAGTCCCACCCCAGCTTCCCCCCAGAAAAGGATATTGCAAAGGATATTAGTGAATATGAGATGAATGTCTGGGAGAAGAAGTGCAGAGCTTCCACACCTTCCCTAGGCCAGCTTCCCATAACTTCCAGGTGTTCACTTACCTGAAGCTTCTTTTTTTTTTTTTTTTTTTTGTGGCCCTGGGGTTTGAACTTAGGGCCTCACACTTGCTATGCAGGTGCTCTACCACTTGAGCCACTCCACCAGCCCCTATCTGAAGCTTCTGAATGAAGACCTTTTAGGATTTTATGAAGGCTTCACTACATAAGCATAATTGATTAACTCATTGGCCATCAGTGATCAACGTAACCTTCAACCCCTCTCTTCTCGATGTGATGAGGGTGTGGTACAAGTCCCAACTTTATAATCATGCCTTAGTCTTTCTGACCAGCCCCCATCCTGAAAGCTACCTAGGGGCTGCCACCTATCAATCAGTTATTAACATACAAAAAAAACTACTACTTCAGAGATTCCAATGAATTTAGCAGTTGTACATCCCAGGAAATACAATATGGGTGGTGGTTGGGGTAACAAATATTCAGTCCATAGCACGGTGAAATGCTAGAATAATCATGCTTTCAAGGTAAGCCTGTATCTGAAATACATCTTTTGAATGGATTTCTACCCCTTGCACTGCTACTCATAACCACCCTGATGGGGTTTTTTATGATTAAGTTTACAAATTATTTGACATACTCTTGAGCAGGCTCCATTTCTTCTGGGACTCTGAGCCTGGAGAGTTTCAACCAAGTTTAAAGTCAGGAAAAGGGGGTGTGGACTTTGGGGCTGTACTGCTTAGCAGCTAGTCTCCTCCCCTTCCGCACTTTAGCTTTACACAGTATGCATTCTGGAATGACAGGCATTCCGGTGTGAAGAGAGCCAGCGTGAAGACATATTTGTAAGAGTCACAAGAGCTCAGGCCAGGACACAGAGAAACAAAACTCCAGCATATTAACCGACCTCATGTCATTTCCTGATGTTTGGCAGTGACACAGAGAGAACTGCTAGTATCTTCCTTATGTGGATTTATCTTTTAAGAGAAGTTTCTTTTCGTGTGGGACAGTTTGTTGTCGTGAGATACATCTAAGAGAATATAATCATGGGGCAAGCTGATGTCTCCAGACCGGTAAATCCAGATGCACTTGGTGAGTAATAGAAGGCAAAGAAACAGAAAATCTTGGCAGAGGCAAGGCAGATTTACAGGTGAAGTGAGTATTTCATAGGGATTTGAATGCAAGAATTTTGATGTTGATAACTTTGGAATGTTTGTAAGTTTGTGAGGAATGAATGAAAATGTGTAAGTTATTTTCACTCAGTTATGTTAATTTACCACTCACAGTTTTGTTTTACTTGATCCTCTTAAGAGCTTTTTAGATTATATTGCTAGGAAGTTACCTATCTGTTTAGATCTTGTTCTTGTAGAAGACAAGTGCTGTCCAAACTGTTACTTAGAATTCAGAGGTGATTTTACTATTTGCAGGACTTAGGCAATCGCTAAATACGTGGTATACAAATAAAATTGCTGACTTCTAAAAACAGCTCCACTTTTTAAAATTAAGTGTTTAGACTTGGTTATACATTTTCCAAGTCAATCTCAGACTTTTCCCATTGTGCTAATGTTTCCGTTTGTCATAAGACAACACTTTGACACACAAACTTTCCTGAAGTCAGTGTTTTACATTTGAAGAGTTGTCCCAGGGGATAGCCACAGAGCAGGCTGAGTTCATAGTTTAGAGTCTCAGCACTTAAATTGAAATGGCAGTCTGTCATCACTACGAGCACATCCTCCTAACTTTTTAGGATTGCATATATAAATAAGATGGCATAAATTTTTCCCAATCATAAAGTGGGAAAAATACTTTTAAGTGGAGGAGTGGATAAATATTAGCACAGTGGAAGAAAGCCTATAAATCATTTCTGCACATTATACTACTTAAAAAGGATTTTACCTTCACTGATTTATTAAAACATGTTCAGTCCTATGCTGCTTTCTTTTTGTTGGGGAAATAAAAAATGTTGATTACTTTAAAGGAAAGTCTAAAAGCCTGGGAACATAGGCAACATGCATATAATGTGCCTCATAATGTGATGTGATTTAGTTTCTAAAGGAAATGTTTTCAACTGAGAACTTCCCAGGTGAAACATCTATAAAAAGTGGGCTGCGGACATAATAGCTCGGTGGTAGAGCACTTGCCTAGCATGTGCAAGGCTCTGGCTTTGATCCCTAGCACTGCCCACCCTTTCCCCCTTCCCCCAAAAAAAGGAAGAAAAAAGAAAAACCTATCTACAAAAAGTCTTTTTTTATGTATTCCTGAAACTGAGGCACATGGTTTCCAAAGCAAGTTATTCAGAATCAGAGCTTTAGGACCAAAGTCAACAATTGATTCACTTTACTTTGATCATCAGAGCTGGGTCTTTATCAATTCAATAGCTGGATCAAAAAAAAAAAAGTTTCATAAGTAGAAAAAGATATACAGAAAAATATAAAGCACCCTTCAGTACCACTTTCTAGCTTAAGAAATAAAATTTAAAAGACTGAGGTATACCCCACTCCACCCTCTTCCTGTGTCTGCATTCTCTTTTCATGACAGTTTGCTGCTTTGTTCCTAGAGTCAAACCTCTCCTATATTTAGTAAATAACTCACTTATGGACCACTAATTTTTCCTGCTCCAAAGATTAGTTCTTTGTTAACAAGTATAGTAAGAACTCAAATAATGCTAGACATTTATCTCTGTGATAGAAATGAAAGGGCTTTCAAAAACCCAAAATTGTTAAGCAGGTACAGCTTAATTATGGGTGGTTGTTATTTATGAAGGATATCCATTGAGTATATTGATGGTATTCATATGCTTTTAAGCAAAAACCAAATTTGTGAATTTTCACCCAATGAGAGTCCAAATAAAAGACCTTTGAGGGACTAGAGATGTAGAGATGCAGCTCAATGGTAGAATTTTTGCCCAGCATGTGCAAGGCCCTGAATTTAATCCCTAGTGCAACAGGGGAAAGACAACTCTCAGGAACCCAACTACGATTTTTAGGTTTTCTCTGAATTTAATATTTTGGTTTTATTTTTCTGTTACCTAAATAATTGAAAGGTGACTATAAGCAATTTTAATGCATTTGACTACGTTACTATATTATATCTAATTCAGGGTGTATTCTATATAAGCAGATCAGGACTAGGTTATGAGGTTTTGCCTTGACAACTTTGAGAATTATACCATTCCATTAAAGGCTTTTATCAAACCTAGCAGCATCTTGATGAAATGTTAAAAATGTTTTAGTGCATAGCTGTTTGGAAAGTCTTACTAGATTCTTTGGAAGGAAAAATAAAGCAAATTAAAATTAAATTGTTTATTGAATGTTCTGTGCCCAAAATGTAGCACTTTGTTTTGAAGTTTGAAATTAATAGTACTAGGTTTGACAAGTCAAGTGATGCAAATGTATTACTGAACATCCTGAATTGGTCTCTTACTATTTTCAAGGCATTGTGAATGACATAGAGGTTCCTGTGTAGACATAATTTATATCTGTGCCCTCAAGAAGTTTGGTTTCTAGTTGAGAAATTAAAATATTACAAAAGGAGTGAGGGTTGGCAGAATGGTTCAGGTGGTAGAGTGCCTTGCAAGCTTAAGGCCCTGAGTTCAACTCCCAGTACTACCCCCCCAAAAAAAAAGTAGGACTGAGGGTGTGGCTCAAGTGGTAGAGCACTTGCCTAGCAAGTGTAAGGTCCTGAGTTCAGTCCTCACTACTGCTAAAAAAAAGAAAAAGAAAAAGGAAAAGTAGCTAAGTTTACAAAGGACTGTGATATCTTCCATCTAGTGTTTTCTCCCCCCCCCCACCGCCCCAGAATTTGACATTTCGTTTTAGGTAAACTTTAGGTCCTCAGGAGATAAGGGCTAGTTTCTTCCTCTCCCTCCCTCTCCCCTTCCCCCTCTCTCCTTCCTCTTCTCCCTCTCTGTACTCTCTTTCTCTCCAATTTATACTTAGCCCAGGTCAAACTCAAGATCCTTCTGCCTCTAATTCCTGAGTTCTGGGATTATAAATGTATGCCACCATACCAGGTTTATTGTCCTTTTATTAAATTACTTGACTCCCTTGATTTGTGATAGAAGGTCAGAGCTAGTCACATAGAAGAGTCTGTTTTCATTTGTTTTCTTGTTTGTTCTTTTTTGAGATAGGTTCTTGTTTTGTAGGTCATAACTCATGTAGTCCATACTGGCCTTGAACTCATGATCCTGTGGCCTTAGCCTCCCAAGTGCTGGAATTACAGGCATACACCACCAAGCCCATCAGGAGTCTGTTTTCAAATGAATAACCTTTACAAGAGGACCAAATGCAAATTTATGAGTTATTATCAGTATCTAACCAGTTTTTACCATGGAATATTTAAACAACTGATGAACTGAATATTGAATGCAGAGTAGGAATTTCTGCTGTGATGTCCATTCAAAGGAATAATGCATCAGTTTATGGAAAAAAATTATCCTTAAATGAAATGCGTTCATAGGAGAGGCCTATAGATTTACCCAGATAAAACTTTCAAATATTTCCAGGAATTATTATACACTTCTGTAATCACAGCTGTCCGGCTGAGGCAGGAAGATTGCAAGTTCAAAGCCAGCTAAATTAGATAGCAAGACTTTGTCTCAGAAAAAAAAAAAATTTTGTAGTTCTTAACATAAAAGCTGATTGTGTCTTCACTAGAATCCTTTACCATATATTAAAACAGCTAGTTGGGTTAGAGGTGTGACTCAAGCGGTGGGGTGCCTGCTTTGCAAGTGTGAAGCCCTGAGTTCAAACCCCAGTCCCACCAAAAAAAAAAAAAAAAAATCCCAGCTAGTATATGTCCTTAAGTTCAGTATAAAATCAAACAGTTTTGTTAAGTTCTTCCTAACAATTTAGTTTGGAACTTTCCCTTTTCTCTGCTTTCCATTTCCTCTTCTAGCTTCCCCCCCCCCTTTTGCATTCACTAATTAGTTGAATTTGTTCTGCTTTTCTTTTACATAGGGACAAACTGCTCTAAAAGATACAGTATTTTCTTTTTAACCCTCGTTTCCCATTGTCATTTGATTGATTTTGCTCTGAAATTTATGGTTATTGGTTCTCACCTTCATAATAATGCAATTTAAGGGAAAGTGAAAGAAATATATTATCATTTAGAGGCAAAATCATAAGACTGCTGGATGAATAAAATTTAATATAGCTACATAGCAACAATACAACAGAAATAAGTCTCAGACCCAGTGTGGTACATGCCTGTGGTACCAGCTACTCAAGAGGCTGAGCAGCAGGGTCATTTGAGCCTGAATTCAAGGCCAGCCTGGGCAACACAGGGAGACTCCCATCTCAAAACAAAGAGACAGAAAAATTACAACAAAACAAAGTTGGGCATAGTGGTATACTGCTGTAATCCCAGCACTGAGGAGTTTGAGGCAGGTGAACCACAAGTATCCAGGCCAATCTGGGCTACATAATGAGTCCAGGGCCAGTTCGAGCTTACATATCAAGACCCTGTCTCAAAAAAGCAAAACAAAATAAAAAACCTTCAAGTAATAGACGGTTTAATTAAAAATAAAATAATTCATAATTGGCCATCAGAATTATCGGAGACATTTTCATACTATCTGGGGCTAACAGTAATTCTTCTGAACAAGAGGGCACAGCATTCTTTCCTTATGTAATCTGCTGTTCAGATACTTTCCTATGTGATCTGTGACTAAGGGCGAAGTGACATGAAAAGGTTCTGGCGTGGATTCCTTAAAAGATTTTCACTTGTTAACTGAATTCAGAATATTAACCAAAAATTATTGATTCCTTGCTGACCAGGGGATTTTCCAAATACCCTATAACTTACACTTTGAACCCTCACTATAAAAACTTATCCTTAGCCTGGAATTTTTATCCGATTTTGCATGGATATTTATTTACTTACTTACCAGCACCGGGCTTCATGCATGCCAGGCAAGCACTCTACCCCTGAGCTACCCCCCAGCTAATACCACTTCTTGATGGTCAGAAAAGTACATTTTTCCAGGGGGTAATCTTAGACCTAACTGTACTTGAAGTGTAGAGAGACTGTCTCCCTGGCTATCTTCTCTTGAGTGCTTTGGCCAATCCTTTCCAGTTCTCAAGGGTCAGAGG